AAGTATATTAAAAAATAGAAAAGAATTGATTTTTCTAACCTTCAACTTTTATTTGTAATATTTATGTAGCTTTCATTTTTAAATAGATAATTTTAAGATTAATATTTAATGAGACATTTCCACAATTTTTAATGCTAGGTTTTTTTTTTTTTTTTTTTTGAGTCTTACTCTTGTTGTGGCTAGCATGCTGTGGCATTCCTCTTGCCTCAGCCTCCCAAATAGCTGGCCAGAATGCCCAGGTAGTTTTTTCTGTTTTTAGTAGAAATAGGATCTTGTTCCTGCTTAGGTTGGTCTTGAACTCATGAACTCAGGCAATCTACCTGCCTCAACCTCCCAGAGTGCTAGGATTATAGGCATGAGCCACCATACTTGGTTTAGTTTTTTCTTTTGAAAAATATTCTTGGTTTTCAAGCTTTTATCAAATTCATACATATATTTCTTTTTTGTATGTATACTGAATGTAAAGCATTTTTAATTTTGAATGTATTTTTGTAAGTTTTTGGTAAGTTAAAAATAATTATTGATGTTTATTTTACATTTTTGGCAATAAAATATCTACAGTTCTGAAAATACAATATTTAAAACTTAAAGTTTATATTTCTTAAAATGGTAATTTTAGTCTCTATAAATACTAAGCAAGTATTTCACTTATTTTTATGAAAAATAATCTAGAAATTTATTCAGACAATTAAATAGTTATTTTTTATGTGTTACATTTAAAAGAATGGAGAGTGAGTGGAAAAATTGATTATGAGTATAAGGATAAATTCTGCACCCTCTAATGTAGCTACCAACCACACGTGGCTAATAACATTTAAAGCAAAGTGAGAGAATATTAAAAATCACTTCCTCAGCCTCATAACTACATTTTATATATTTAATAGCTACATGTGGCTAGTGACTGCCTTATTGGACAACACAGATAAAGAATATTTCCATCATGACAGAAATTAAAAAAAGGAAAACAAGTAACTAATAGAATGTGAACCAAGAGACAAGACAAAGGTAAATGGTAAAAACTTTGGGGAGCAAATGGGAACTATGACTCTGGAGGCTTTTATGCCACTGTGGAAGAAGAAAGGTTGTGCCGGTTATCTGTCTCTGATCCTGTTAGCCTGCTAGTGTGTCTGAGCCTTCTCTTGATAAATGCCGCTCTTTCACATACATAGAAACATTGGACATACTTGAGGGAGAATGGGCAAATATTGCTGGCAGGAAAAGATGTTGACCACAGTTGTTTTCATATAGAAAACATGGTATTTAACTCATGAACCTGCTCTGAAGCAATGACACCAAGTTATTGATCCAACAAGAACCCTTGTTGAGCATGTTGTGGGAGGTGGTGAGTGAAGTACTTTTTCCTTCAGTACCAAAACTTCATTAACTTTTAAAAAATTAAAACAATTAAAAAATTATTGAAATGAAATTGATGTAACAAAATTGAACATTTTGAAGTTAACAGTTCATTAGCATTTAGTATATTTGTAGTGTGTGCCACCACTTGTGTCTAGTTCTAGACATTTTCATCGCTTCAAAGTAGACCCTTAGCCATTAAGTAGTTTCTCCTAATTTCTCTCCTCCCCCCAACCCCAGCCCTGGAAACTACTAATCTGTTTTCTTTCTGGATTGTTCTATTCTGGATATTTCGTATAAATGGGATCATATAATATGAAAAAACTTTTCTATTTCAAAATTGTGAAAAAGAGAAAGAAATAATAGTAATAACAGATTTGAGAAACACTAAGACTATTGCTTTTATCAGGATTTTAAACTTAAAAATATTTTAAAACTTAATAGTTTACAAGTCGTATGGATTTGGGTAACCTAACTCTTGTGACATTCTTAAGCATTACAGCTTAGTTATCCACAGAGTAACAAAAACATTGACATTGATTTGTAATTGTCCAGTTGCTTGCTGTATCTAAATTATAGAAGTATAAAAATTAAAATATTTAGTATTTCCCAGATATTATTGAGCTATATTGCTAAAAATGTATTAGCAGAGAACAGGCTTGGCGCCTGTGGCTCACGTGGCTAAGGTGCCAGCCACATACACCTAAGGTGGCGG